TCAGTTCTTAACTCAAATCTAAGTATGTAAGTCAAGTCAATATTTTCCTATGAGAGTGGTTCTTAAGTCAAAATGTTCTTAACTCAAGCCGTTCTTAAGTCAAGACCCCACTGTATATACTGTGTATATACTTACAATGACAATAAATAAATAAATAAATAAATAAATATCAATAAATAAAAATCAATAAATAAAAGGAATATGGTAGTTGGAGTTTACAACCAACTGCCTAATCAAGATGAAAAACAAATTGCAAGAATTTATTTTTTTCTTTTTAGCTTGTATTTACTATCTGTAATATGGTCGATTGTCTCTTCATTCTTTAGAATTGCAAGAATTTCTAACAGACATGGTGTAGTAGCAAAGAGATTTCAGTGGTCCTGATATCCGTTGGGAGGCAAATTCTGCCAGACATGCCATTCCAAGAAATTCCTGGCTTGTATGGCTGATAACTTTCGCCTTTAAAAAGTAGAGGGGGGAAAAGGAGTAGCTATCCTTGATTTCATTCTAAAGAATAGGGATGGCTTGGTGGATGAAATGTCAGTAAGGGGAACTCAGGGAGAAAGTGACCATGTAAACAAAATGTAGTCATATATACACACTGGACTTTAGTGAAGCCAATTTTAATAAATTCGGAATAATTATAAGAAAAGTCCCATGGCAGGAGATCCTAACAAGCAAAGGAGTCAAAGATGAGTGGAAGTTTCTTAAAAAGGAAATGCTAAAGGCACAACTACAAACAATTCCATTAAGAGGAAAAGGTGGAAGACAGTAAAAACAATCGATGTGGCTTCACAGAAAAGCTCAGAGAGGACCTGGAAACCAAAAAAGAACACATATTGGAAGTGGAAAGAAGGCCAGGCCACAGGGAAAGAATACAGAGAAATAGCAACGAATTGCAGGGATGGCGTTAGGTAGGCAAAAGCAGAAAATGAGCTGAGGTTAGCAAGAGATGCCAAAAGCAACAAAAAGGGTTGTTGTGGGTTTTTCTGGTTCTTTGGCCGTGTTCTGAAGGTTGTTCTTCCTGACGTTTCGCCAGTCTCTGTGGCCGGCATCTTCAGAGGACTGGAGTAGAAACTCTGTCCATGCTCCGACAATGAAAAGGGCTTTCTTCAGGGACATGCATAGCAAAAGCCACAGGAAACAAGGAATCCCGGCCAGCTCTCCCCAAAGGCCCGCCAACCGCCGAGCCGCCGCCCACCTTCCGGGCAGCGGCCCTTCTGACCATCAGCCTTTCTGGCATTTGCCAGAAGTGCCAGATGGCCAGTCTGGCCCTGGTAGCTTGAGACTTACAGAGTCATCTGATACGTTATTAATTTAAACCGAGTTCATATCTCCAGGGCTGGATGAACTGCACCCAAGAGTATTGAAGAAACTAGCTGAAGGACTTGAGAGGACACTCTGAACCACTGTCTGTTATTTTCTTGAAATCATGGAGGTCTTGAGCTCCCTTTACTTTCTCTGCCCTGTAGTTCTTCTGGGGAGTCCTGGCTGCTCCCAAAGGGCACAGCGCCCTTCCAGGCCACCCCAGTCCACCCCAAGCAGTGGGATGTTCTTATGCAGACCGGACTGGTGCAGTCCTCACTTTGGTCCACCTGGAGAAGAGAAAAATCTCCCGCCCAATGTCACAGTTTTATCTGGTCATGGTTGGCAGTAAGACTAACTTGTTGCGCCCTTCTTACTCAGGGGGAAAAAATAGCACATTTTTTTTAGGTCTTACCATAAAAATCTGTTAAACTATTTTAAGAAAATAACTTTCCTCGTATAGGGAGCATTTCTATCAATTCTTTCCAGCACGAGCGCTTGACATTGAAAGGGTCTCTATTTGGTGTCGATTTTGTGATGTTTACTCAGCCTGTCACCTGAAGAAAACTTTTTCCACATGCATTTAAATGGCTTCTCTCTGCCATTAGTCATTTAATGAGAATAAAGGTAATGGCTTCGATTAAAGTCTTTCCACACTCCAGGCATTTATAAGGCTTCTTTCAGATAGATTCTGAAATGCATATTATGCTTACTTTGAGCGAAGCTTTTTCCAAACTCCTGGCATTTAAAAAGTTTGTCCCCTGTATGAACTCTTTTAAAGCATTTTCCACACTTAGATCATTTATGTTTTTCCACAACGCAAGTACAACAATGTGCCTCAAGACTAGATTTCTTTTTGTGTGTGCCTTGCACCCTTGCCCACTGAATCTCAAATGGCCCCTTCTCATAGATCATACTCCACATCCAGGTTAAAAACGTTTACTCTTCTTGTTCCAGCAAGCTTTTTTCCCTCTGGACAGAGAAGATAGCCTCTGATGTTGTTTTACATATTCTGCCCCTTGCTTGCTGTATTGTTTCTGATACTCTTAATGCATCTGTCTTTTGATTGTAAGCTGCCTTTTCTACAACAAGTTCTTCAAAAGGGCAGAATAAGAATTTATATAAAAATAATAGATATCTACTGATACTGTACTTGAATAATCTAATATAGCAACAATGAAACTACTCAAGCAGGGAAATGATTCAGAAAGATCAGACGGCTGTCTGTATTTTCATGAATGACAACATGCCAGTGGAAACCATTTTTAAAGCTTTCTTTTGATAACAGCAGATAGCATATTTCCCACCCCTTTATTATAATAATATCAGAAGACAGCATTATGAAACTGAACAGCTCACAACTGTCAGTCCCATGACACTGTGGTAGAAAGACTTACAAAACTGGGGTTGTCTGTTTGGCCCAATCTGTTCCTAGAGATGACCAAAGACTATTCACAGACACAGTAAAAGTGGAAGGTTTATTTAAACAACAGCAGATCCTGAAAATTACTTGTATGCAATGAAGACTCAAGATGCAAAAATACAATACTATTAGAGAAAAAGAGTGAATGTCAGATAAAATGCAACAATTAAATGAAAAAAAAGATTGCAGTGTCAGAAGTTATTTCTGACTTTTACTTTAGGCATCCTTCAGTCTGGAGAGACTATGGTAACATGCTCTGTATGGAGGACTTGGAACAGCGTCTAGTGTGGCTGAGAAGGCCAATTCGAGAGTGACAATCCCTTCCACACTGAAGACAAATACAATCTGTCCCCTGTCCAGCTCCCTGATTTTGCTGGTTTTAGGACTGCCTCTCTTCCTTTGCTTGCTGGGTCTCTTCAAATTGGGAGAGGCCATGATTCACCGCCTGCCTCCAGGCTGAACGCTCAAGATGTCAGTGTTTCCTATCTGTTGAGATCCATTTCCAAGGCCTTCAGATCCCACTTGCAGATATCCTTGTATCGCAGCTGTGGTCTCCCTCTGGGGCGATTTCCCTGCACTAATTCTCCATAAAGGATATCTTTTCTGACGCACAGGAAAAATTAGCTGGAATCTGATCTTTCTAAAATACTAGATTCCTCCTATGCTTCCATCAGCTCTCTAGCTAAAGCCTGCAGTTCTGCTAGCAGCCTGGGAACACAGCGGAAGGGTGCCACCCTCATTTCTGTGCCATGTGGTTGTTTCAGGAAATCCTGGCGGCTCATGGAGGGCACTGTGCCCTTCAGCATGACACCAGTCCATCTGGGCAGGAGTGGTGCAGTTTTCCCTGTGGTCTACCTGGCAAGGCTAGAAAGATTTGTTGGGGTTGATGGTCAATAGATTTTTAAGGCATTAGCACCGAAATCTTCCAAGAGACTATTTTATGAAAAATTTTGTTGTTTAGTCATTAAGTCATGTCCGACTCTTTGTGACCCCATGGACCAGAGCACGCCAGGCCCTCCTGTCTTCCACTGCCTTCCGGAGTTGTGTCAAATTCATTTTGGTTGCTTTGATGACACTGTCCAACCATCTCATCCTCTGTCGTCCCCTTCTCCTCTTGCCTTCACACTTTCCCAACACCAGGGTCTTTTCCAGGGAGTTTTCTCTTCTCATGAGATGGCCAAAGTACTGGAGCCTCAGCTTCAGGATCTGTCCTTCCAGTGAGCACTCAGGGTTGAAAGGTATTTATGAAAAGCATTTATTGAAAAGTATTTATGAAAATACCTTTCACCATATTAGGGTCCTTTCTATTTATTATTCTGAGGATGAGTCCATGACATTGAAATGGTCTCTACTTGGTGTGGATCCTGTGATGTCTACTAAGTCTGCCACCTGAACAGAAGCTCTTTCCACACTCCATGCACTTAAAAGCCTTCTCTCCTTCATGAGTCCTTTTATGGTAACAAAGGTGTGAGCGTTGGCTGAAGCTTTTTCCACATTCAAGACACTCAAATGGCTTTTCACCTGTGTGGGTCCTATGATGTTTAGCAAGGCTCGCACGTTGACTGAAACTCTTTCCACACTCCTGACATTTAAATGGCTTCTCCCCTGAGTGAATTCTCTCATGGGTAGTAAGAATTTCTCTCAGGCGGAAGCTTTTCCCGCATTCGAGGCACTCAAATGGCTTCTCGCCTGTGTGGGTCCTGTGATGTCGAGCAAAGCTTCCAGATTGACTGAAACTCTTTCCACACTCCAGGCATGTAAAAGGTTTCTCCCCTGAGTGAATTCTTTCATGGTTTATAAGATGTGCTCTCAGTCCAAAAGTTCTCCCACACTCCATGCATTCAAATGGTTTCTCGCCAGTGTGGGTCCTATGATGAGTAGCAAGGTTTGTAGATTGACAGAAGCTTTTTCCGCACTCCAGACATTCAAACGGCTTCTCCCCTGAGTGAATTCTTTCATGGGTAATAAGATTTCCTCTCAGTCCAAAGGTTTTCCCACATTCCAGGCATTCAAACGGTTTCTCACCTGTGTGGGTACTAAGATGTTCAGCAAGATCTGCAGACCGACCAAAACTCTTTCCACACTCCAGGCACGTCAATGATTTCTCCCTTTTGTGAACTTTCGCATGGCGATAAAGTGCCGATTTCTTGGCAAAAGATTCCCCACTCTTGGGGCACTCATGGCTTCCCTCTCTCTTGGATGTTTTCTGATGGACTTGGACTTCCTCTGGATGAACAATGGATCCATCTGTCTTCTCATCTACTTGTTTTCCTCCCAATTCCTTCATTCCATTTTGATTCTCAACACTTTCTTCTGCATCCGAACATTCACCCTTTTCCTCCTGTGCTTGATGCCCTTCCCTTTCGTTTCTTACCTCTGACATTTTTTCTGCTAAAAAGAAGAAAAACAAAAGGGAGCCAAAATAACAGTTTTTCAAATCAAGGAACAAACCCAATGAACTGCCAGGGAGGGGGAAGAATAAAATCCAGCTCTGGGGGAGGCACTACCTTCACAAACATCAGTAAGGAACCTGATTCTGTCACCAGTTAAGATGCTGAGGGAAACCTACCAAGAGATTTCTCACTCTCCTCTCAGCTGGACAGAGATAGGACAAGCCATTCTACCTGATTTCATGAGATAACATTTGTGTCCTTCTGTGAGGCAATGGTGGCCAAATTATTCGCTGATGCCAACATTGGCTGATCCATTTTACAATCTAGTGGGGATCATCTTAACTTGGGGCCTCGCCTGCAACACTTCCACCTTTAAAATATTTTATTTTAAATATTTACATTTTAGTTATGTATATAAAACACTTTTTTGCAAAATTTCTATTTGCAGCACACATGGACACATACACAGAAACAGAGATCAGTGAATTGAAACCATTACAAAACACACAAACAAAAAGGGGGGGGGGAATGAGAGAAGACAACAAGGGGATCCTTACCAGATCTAACGAGGGAGAGGTAATGCCAAGGAGGGGAAAGTAACTTCTTTGCTTTGCCAGGAAGAGAAGAGGAAAAACGTCTGCAGAGGAGCCTGCCTTTGCTCTGGAGGAGGTGGCCCCCTCCAGCTCAGCTCCGTTCCTCCGCTCAAGAAAGTAACGCCGTTCCTTTCAGGCCAAGCCGCCCAACGACAGGAGAGGGCAAACACGCGGCCCCACAGGCAGGAAAGGCTTAGAAAAATTGTTTTTTTTTTTAATTTCCCCTACTACAACTCCCAGAATCCCCAGACAGCACGACCACAGATGTTGTAGTCCCAAAAGAAAAGGTCTACATAAGTTCTTGACGTGTTCACGCCAAGGGTTGGACGCGCAATACTCTTCGGACTTCAACTCCCATCAGCCCTGTCACTGGCTCTGCTGGCTGGGGACTCTGGGAGTTGTAGTATTTTTTTTTTTTAAAGGAAGGCTTTGGAGGTCTGTATATTCTCCCCCCACAAACGGATTTTTTCGGACTGCAGTTCGCAAAACTCGGACCACCGCCTTGAAGAGTGATGGGAGTTGTTGTCCAGAAAAAAAAGCTGACTTTTCAAAGTCCCCATTCAGATTGACGCCTCCGGAGCAAGAAGGTTCTAAAGGGGGAGGACCATTTCCGGTTAAGGACCCCTACCTCTTCAAATTACCTATTTCCTGCCTCTCTAGGAATCTCGCGTTCTGCTGCTTTTAACTCTTTCAGCCCCAGCCCCAAAATACTTCCTCTGCTTCACTCATAGGAGACTAAAGCAGTGGTTCTTAACCTTTGTTACTCATATGTTTTTGAATTGCAACTCCCAGAAACCCCAGCCAGCACAGTTGGTGGTGAAGGCTTCTGGGAGGTGCAGTCCAAAACTCCTGAGTAACCCAAGGTTAAGAACCAGTGGGCTAAAGGAAAAGATCACTGCACTGTACTGTATCCAAATTATAATTATGATTATTCCTTCCTTGGTTGCTACGTCAACCAACAACTACTCTTCTTAACTTTTTTCCTGGATTTTATAAAGTATTTTTTGCAAATGAGATTACGACCCATTCTGCCTGGGTTTTTTCTTTTCTTAACTTGATGATAATAAAACTAAGAAGTTCGTGTCTCTGATCAAGCTGTTCATGGCAGGAGGTTCAAAACGCCCAAGGAAGAGGAAGCATTGAAATGTTAGGTAGGTGCCTGGGAGAAGTCAGCAGTGGAATCCTACATAGGTCTACTCTAAGGTGGATTGCACCCCTACCTGGACACCCAGTCCCTCCCTGTGCTAGTCCATGCACTGATCATCTCAAGAATAGACTACTGCAATGCTGTCTACGTGGGGCTTCCAATTATGCTGATGATACAGAAGCAGGTCCAGAGCATGGCGGCCAAACCACTGAGTGGAGTTAGAAAATACCAGCACATCTCCCCAACACTGTCTGCCTTACACTGATTAGATGGCGTGGAAGTGGACAGGTAATGAGTTTAAGGCAGCCAGAGTCGGCGGGATGTGTTGGTATTTACTAACTTCTGTCCGCTTCTGTGCCAGCTTCAAAGTGATGGTTGGTATTTACTAACTTCTGTCCGCTTCTGGTGCCAGATGATTGTAGCATATAAAGCCATAATCAGTTTGGGACCTCAGTACCTGGTAGAATGTCCTTTTCCAGTGAGGCATATAAAGCCATAATCAGTTTGGGACCTTGGTATCTGGTAAAATGTCCTTTTCCAGATAATTTGTTTATTTGATTTTTATATCACCCATCTGGAGAATGCGTCCTACTCATTTGCCCCAGGCCAGATATCAGGATGCTGACCCTAACAGAGGGAGAAAACTAGGAACAGGGCCTTCTCTGTGGTGGCTCCCCGACTCAACTTCCTCCTGATCTCTGCCTGAGCCCTTTGCTGGCAACATTTAAGCAGCTTTTTAAAACTTGGCAGTTTTGACAGCCATTTTATTTTGATTCACTAATGGAGCCCAATGAAACTATTAGCCAGTAAGATAACAATATCGCCATTTTAGGTGCTTACATAGTAAAATGTGATTTATTATGCTTTATTATCTTGTATTTGTTTTTATATTAGTACTGATGTTTTGATCAGTGGGTATGGTTAGATCTTTTGCCTATACTGTTTTGTTGTATGTTGTAAACATGGGAGCTGGTATGACAATAGCGTCAAATGAAAAATAAAATACTCCTTGCTTTAAAACTTCTTTGATGCAAAGAGTGACCAATAAAAAAAAGTCCTAATGTAAAAGAATAAGGTCTAAGAATTCAGAAAACCACAGAAAATGCAGAAAGGTAGATTTTTTGGATCACAGAATCAGAAACAAAAAACACAGATTGTTACAGCTGGTCATTCAAGATAACAATAAGGGGGAAAAGCAGGAAGAGGAAGAAAATAGATCTTCATCCAGCACGAAACATCCCTACCTGGAATTCTAGCATCCAAAGTCAAAATGCTTTTTCACCCTCCGGTTAGAAGAGAAATGAGAGGATTATGAAGATACCAGTGAATCATAGGCATGGTTTTGGAGAATTTTGTGCAGAAATCCTAAACATTACAGGCTCGCAAGATTTTTAGACATGGAAGGGACCCCAGAGATGGTAGAGCCTAAGACACTGCAAGAGGAAGAAAGCCAGAAGCTTTCTCCAGCCTGTGGCAATCCTGTAAATGAGCCACCTTAATCTCCTGCCAACTCAAGCCTGTGACTTCATGTATGGAGTCTATCAATTTCATATTTATTATTTTCTTGAGAAGTCTTGGACAAACGAAGGGGTGTGTGTCAAATAACCACCTCAGTTTAGTTATTTCTGCGTCTAGGGAAACTTTCAGCTTAGTTTGATCTCATTACTAACTGTGTGTCATAAAGTCAATGCTGACTTATGATGACTCTTTCCAGAGCTCCCCAGGTAGAAAAATACAGTGGTGCCTCGCTAGACGATGATAATCCGTTCCATTGAAATTGCTATTTAGCGAAATCATTGTCTAGTGAAAAACATTTCCCCATTGGAATGCATTGAAACCTGTTTAATGTGTTCCAAAGGGGAAGAATCGTCATTGTCTAGCGAAGATCGGCCATAGGAAAGCCGCTTTGCGAACCGCCGATCAGCTGTTTAAATCACTGTCTTGCGAAGCTTAGGTCCCGAAAACACCTGTTTGTGAGTGCGGAGGGAGCTGTCAAAATCATCATCTAGCGAAAATCAGTTTGCGAAGCAGGGACCAAACATTGTCCAGCGAAATTCCCCCCTAGGAATCACTGTTTTGCGAATCGCTATAGCGATCGCAAAAAGCCAATGTCTAGTGAAAAAACTGTCATGCGGGGTAACTGTCTAGCGAGGCACCACTGTACTCACAAGTGGCTTTCCACTCCCTTCTTTCAGGGCCATCCGGGGTAACTGTCTAGTGAGGCACCACGGTACTCACAAGTGGCTTTCCACTCCCGTCTTTCAGGGCCGTCCTGGGACTGTGCACTCTGCCCAAGGCTACACAGCCTAGTTCTTCTCCTACACAGCACCGTGGAAAATTAAAATGCCAACCTCTGCAACCAGAGGTTCAACTTACTTGTTGGACACAACTTCCAACCTCTGCAACCAGAGGTTCAACTTACTTGTTGGACACCACAACTTCACATCGCCTCCCTGCTTGAATTCTTGGATTACTCTCCAGGATTTCTCATGAATGCACAGAGTAGTATTTTGTCAGCTGGACAATAAAAAAACAGTGAGAAGACCAGACAGTCTGCGCAGGACAGCCAGCTGTTGTGGGATCCCTGTACCCCTCTTTTCTCTGACCAGAGGTTCAACTTACTTGTTGGACACCACAACTTCACATCGCCTCCCTGCTTGAATTCTTGGATTACTCTCCAGGATTTCTCATGAATGCACAGAGTAGTATTTTGTCAGCTGGACAATAAAAAAACAGTGAGAAGACCAGACAGTCTGCGCAGGACAGCCAGCTGTTGTGGGATCCCTGTACCCCTCTTTTCTCTGCAAATTGAGGTCAACAGATCTCAGTCTTGGTCAGGGTGCTGATATAGCTATGGTTCCTTCTCAAACTAGGAAGAGGTAACAAGCGACTCAGTCCTGCGCCCAGTGCTCATCGACATTTTTTACTAATGATTTGGATGAGGAGATGCAGGAAATGTTTATCAAATTTACAGATGACACAAAACTTGGTGGCAAAGCTACCGTGTTTCCCCGAAAATAAGACAGGGTCTTATATTCATGTTTGCTCCAAAAATGCATTAGGGCTTATTTTCAGGGGATGTTTTATTTTTATTTCATGTACAACAATCTACATTTATTCAAATACAGTCATGTCATCTTCTGGTTGCTAAACAAGGGTTGGGTTTCACTTAACTAGGGCTTATTTTTGGGGTAGGGCTTATATTACAAGCATCCTGCAAAATCATAGGTAAAGGTAAAGGTTCATCTAGTCCAGTTGTGTCTGACTCTAGGGCGCGGTGTTCATCCCCATTTCCAAGCTATAGAGCCAGCGTTTTGTACGAAAAGTTTCCGTGGTCACGTGGCCAGCGCGACTAGACACGGAACACCGTTACCTTCCCAACGAGATGGTACCTATTTATCTACTTGCATTTTTACACGCCTTCAAACTGCTAGGTTGGCAGGCGCTGGGACAAGCGACGGGAGCTCACTCTGTGGCGTGGATTCGATCTTACGACTGCAGGTCTTCTGACCTTGCAGCACAGAGGCTTCTGTGGTTTAACCCGCAGTGCCACCACGTCCCTAATCATACTAGGGCTTATTTTCAGGTTAGGTCTTATTTTAGGGGAAACTGGGTAATACCGTCTAACCCCTTCTGGCTCAGGAAAATAATATTGAGAAACAGATACCCTTTTGAAGGCATTAACACCAAGATCTGCTAAGAACCTATTTTAAGAAAATATCGTCCAACACATTGAGAACATTTATATTGATTATTTCCAGCATGAACACTCGACACTGAAACAGTTACTACTTGGTGTGGATTTTGTGATGTTTACTCAGCCTCTCACGTGAACCGAAGCTTTTCCCACACTCCATGCATTTAAACAGCTTTTCTCCTACATGAGTCGTTTGATGGGAACGAAGGTGTGCACGTTGACTGAAGTTCTTTCCACACTCCAGGCATTCAAACGGCCTCTCGCCTGTGTGGGTTCTGCTGTGCGTAGCAAGTGTTGCACTCTGACTGAAACACTTTCCACACTCTAGGCATGTAAACGGTTTCTCCCCTGAGTGAATTCTTTCATGGATAGTAAGACTTCCTCTCAGTCCAAAGGTCTTCCCACATTCCAGGCACTCAAAGGGCTTCTCGCCTGTGTGGGTTCTGAGGTGTGTAGCAAGATATGCCCGCTGACTGAAACTTTTTTCACACTCTGGACATTTAAATGGTTTCTCCCTTAAGTGAATTCTTTCGTGGATAATAAGATTTCCTCTCAGTCCAAAGGTTTTCCCACACTCCAGGCATTCAAAGGGTTTCTTTTCCGTGTGTGTGCTTTGATGGCACATGAGGGATTTTCTCCATCTAAAGCTTTTTCCGCATTCCTTGCATTCAAACGGTTTCACTGTGGTGTGGACTTTGTAATGTGAAACAAGGTCTCGGCTTTGGCGGAAGGTCTTTCCGCACTCAAGACATCCAAATGGCTTCTCGCCTGTGTGGGTCCTGCGGTGTGTAGCAAGGTGTGCATGGTGACTGAAACTTTTTCCACAATCCAGGCATTTAAATGGCTTCTCGCCTGTGTGGGAACTGCAGTGTGTAGCAAGACTTGCACGTTGACTGAAACTTTTTCCACACTCCAGGCATTTAAATGGCTTCTCCCCTGAGTGAATTCTCTCATGGGTCGTAAGATGTGCTCTCAGTCGAAAGGTTTTCCCACACTCCAGGCATTCAAACGGTTTCTCACCCGTGTGGATACTGAAGTGTTTCGCAAAGCTTCCACGTTGACTGAAACATTTCCCACACACCAGACATTCAAATGGTTTCTCTTCTGTATGTGTACTTTGGTGACTAATAAGGGACTTCTTCCATTTAAAGGTTTTTCCGCATTCCTTGCATTCGAATGGTTTCTCCGTGGTGTGGACTTTAAGATGTGAAACAAGGTCCCCTCTCAGGCGGAAAGCTTTTCCACACTGCAGGCATATAAATGGCTTCTCTCCCGAGTGAATTCTTTCATGGGTTATAAGGTGTGTTCTCACTCCAAAGGTTTTCCCACACTCCTGGCATTCGAAGGGCTTCTCGCCTGTGTGGGAACTGATGTGTGTAGCAACGTCTGTAGGCAAACTCTCTCCACACTCCGGGCATGTAAAGGTTTTTTCCCCTTTGCAAACTTTTCCTTGGCTATCAAGTACCAATTTGTGAACAAAGGTTTTCCCACACTTCGGGCACTCGTTAATCTGTTCTCCTCTGGATGTTTTCCGACAGACTGGAACTTCTTCTGGATGAGCAATGGGTCCGTCTGTCTTCTCATCTGCTTGATTTCCTCCCAGCTTTGTAATTCTATCTTGATTCCCAACCCCCTCTTCTGCATCCAGACATTTACCCCTTTCCTCCGATTCTTGAGGCCTTCCTTGTTTGTTTCTTCCCTCCGACATTTTTCCTGCTCAAAAGAGGATAAACAAAAATGAGCCAGGTTTCTGGATGAAGTAACAAACCCAATGAAGCCGCCCCGAGTAGACATGGTCTAGAGGGGCGGGGTAAAAATCAAATAAATAAATAAATAAATAAATACAGCATACAGGAGAATCAGCTCTCAGGAGATCCACCTTCACAAAAGTCGGTGGGAAGGCTAAATCTGTCAACAATTAAGACCCTGAGGAAAACCAACCAGGAGATTTATCATGCTCCTCTCTGCTGCGCAGAGATGGGATGAGCCTCACCACCTGATTTCCTGACATAACATCTGTGTCCTTCTGTGAGGAAATGGTGGTCTTCCCAGCCGGGAAAACCCTAGTGAGATAGAAATCGACAATGGTTGCTTCATAGCCTTTATATAATGTTTACACATCACTCTAGATCTCTCTCATAGAAAGTTGGACTGGCTGCTCATACCTTGTTCATGATAGTTATGATTATTTAACAACCCATATGCAGCTAGGGTAATCTAGATATTTTGAGGAAGCACCTCTCTGCTTATTTATTCACTCCAGTATTAAGATCTGAGAGATGCCTTCGGGAGAGATGCTGGCAGGATGTTTAGTCCTGTAATTTGTTCCTTACTAAGTATCAGTTGTGCCAAAAGATTGAGGAACAAAGACATACAGTTACCTGTTCTAAGCAGCAGATTACTATGGATTCAGAAGGATGTAGCAGAAGACTGATCCAGAATCAATCCTGTGATCCAGAGAAACCCAGATGGCAACACTTAGTCCTAGTAGAAAGAAAAGTATAAAAACATCAATGCCTGAGTACTGAGAGGAGTTGAAATATTTAAAAGGAAAAAAAACACAGAGAAGGCAGGAGCCTAACTAGCAATTTTGGGACTGAGGGGATACAGGCCAAATTGCATCCTCAAACCAGCTTTCAAATTTGTAACATGAAAATAATTCAGGAATCACAGGGACGATCATCCTGCCAGCAACTGCTCCACAGGGTAACAGCTACATTGTCAGAAAGCATCAGGAAGAAATCAGAAGAGTACTGTATTTTTGTCTACAGACACAGAGAGAGACAAAAACAAAATCTAAACATAGCATGCTTTCCAACATGGGCCTGAGGTCTGCTCAGCAGAAACCTGGTTAGACCTGCCTTCTTCTGCTTCGGCCAGACCTGCTTCAGCCACACCTCTGGATTTCCCTGAAAATTGGCCTCACAGTCTTCTGAAAAGTGGCAACCTTCACCCTAGAAAAAAGCCCTAGAAAAAGAAATAAAGAGAGAGAGAGAGAGAGAAGAAAAGAAGAAAGAAAGAAAGAAAGAAAGAAAGAAAGAAAGAAAGAAAGAAAGAAAGAAAGAAAGAAAGAAAGAAAGAAAGAAAGAAAGAAAAGGAAACATAGAACAAAATCTTAATTTCCCTTGACTGTTTGTGCAAAACTTAGCTTTTCTAACCTACCACCTCCATTAAAAACAAACAAAAGTAAAAATTGGTTATGAAAATAACTATTTGGCAGCAACCGTCCAGAGTAGACATGTTCTAGATGGGCGGTATATAAGTCTAATAAATGAATGAATGAATAAATAAACAAATAAATGTTTGGCATTTCTGTACATGGTGAGAACATGCAAGTTAATGATGCTGAATGGCTGGGAGACAAGTGACATTTCTTGCTCCTGTGCTGACAGAAGCCATGGGAAGAGAGAGTTGGAGTCAGTCAGTGTGAGTGTTCACATGGACTTTGTGATCAATGTACTTGAGCTAAAGATTGTTCTCTGCTCCCTTTATCTTAAAAATAAGCACAGAAATCATTTGAAAAGATTACAAGATTTGTAAATGAAAAGCAGAACCAGCCTTCTCATTAATTATAGGTAATATATGTTCCCTTTTTTCTGCCCAACTTGTGTTAATGAGGTACAATTTTATACAAATTATAATCATATACAATGGTGCCTCGCTAGACGATGTTAATTCGTTCCGTGAACATCACTGTTTTACAAAAAACATCTTCTAGCGAAGCACGGTTCCCCATTGGAATGCATTGAAATCCGTTAAATGCATTCCAATAGGGAAAAATCATCATTTTGCGGAGATCGCCCATAGGCAAACCATTTTGCAAAGCACCGATCAGCTGTCAAAATCATCATCTAGGGAAAAATGTTCCTGGAAAAAAAAAACGTCTTGTGAAGCATGGACCAAAACATCGTCCAGGGAAAATCACCCATAGGGAAAACCATTTTGCGAAGTGCTATAGTGATCGCAAAAATTCATCGTCTAGCGAATAAACCGTTTTGCAAGGCAATCATCTAGCGAAGTACCACTGTAATCCTCCGGAAGTGATGCGTCCTAATTAAAATCCCATTCTTGCAGAAGCGGCAGCAATTATATCTTTCAGTTGGCATTTCTTTTTTATTATTATTATTATTATTAAAAAAAATTAGTCTTAGCCATCCCTTCTCAGAAAGTAGAGGCTCTTTCTTCTCCAAAGGGCTTGTTTCTCATCATACCCATACAGGCTAACTATCGTTTTCTAGCCTTAATTATCATGTGATGTTTTGTATAGGTTTATCATTAATGATTTGATGTGCTTGTAATTTCAGTTTTTCCAGCATTATATACAATTATTATATACAATTATTATATACTATTACTACTACTACTATTATTATTCAAAAATGCAAGGTATAGTCAATCAAAATTATAAAAACATTGGCATTACATAACAAATACAAGTTTTAACCAAAAATCTAAGTATCTGTTAAATATCGATGTAATACAGTATACAGTGGTGCCTCGCTTAACGATTGCCTCGTTTAGCAATGTTTTTGCTTAACGATGTTTTTTTAAAAGAATTCTATGCATCATTTAACGATGTTTCCTATGGGCGATTTTTGCTTAGCGATTTCGGGACCATGCTTCGCATAGCGAATGCATTTTTTTCAATTTTAAAAGTGTCTTAAAATGTTCAAAAATGTTTTAAATGCTTGGAATCATTAGTGCACCTTCTAAAACGTGTGCAAACTTAATTTGGCTTTGATCTGACTTTTCGTTAATTTTTTGTGAATTTTTTTCTCCCCCATAGGAAAGCATGAAGCTGTCAAATTTTGACAGCTGTCAAAAAGTTGGTGGGGGGAAAAAATCAGCAAAAATTAACGAAAAGTCAGATCAAAGGCAAATTAAGTTTGCACCCGTTTTAGAAGGTGCACTAACGATTCCAAGCATTTAAAACAGTTTTTGAAGCTTTTAAGACACACTTAAATTTGCAAAAATGGACATCGCAAAACTATTGGAATGCACTGAATAGGCTTCAATGCATTCCAATGGAGGAAACATTGTATCACTTAACGATGTTTCCTATGGTTTTTTTCACTTAAGGACGGCAATCCGTGCCTATTGGAACGGATTAACCGGTTTTCAATGCATCTCTATGGGAAAACGTGTTTCGCTTAACGATGTTTTCCCACAGCTATGGTTTTTTTGGAACCAATTAACATCGTTAAGTGAGGCACCACTGTATATAACCTGTTCCTAATACTGCTGTTTTTTGGATGATGATGACAATGATGGAATCATTCCAATGAAAAGATTATAATAGGAATATGTGCATTAACAGATTATCTTATTTCTTCCTTCTCTCCAAATTTGAAAACCTTTCATGAGAAACTTTAAATAAATATTTGATGCACTTTAGGGCTTTAAATCTTGAGTTAAGTCTTGGTTGCTTGCGGCAATAAAAGATATTTAAAGGGTGTCTGTGGTAAAGAAAAAGTTAAGAACTGCTGCTTTAAGGAGTTTTTAGTTGGGAGGGGCTTTTTTGAACAAGTGAGTTGGTGTCAGTCAACTCGGTGGCAGCCAATGATTTCCTCCCTGCCTCAGATTCATTTGCCCGCCTTTTTCCCAGTCAAGGTTGGCCGTGAAATCTGAAGAAGCCAGTTCCTAACCAGTCCGTTTGGCAATAATGAAGGAAATTAACCAGTTCAGCTTAGTAACATAACAAGTTAACACTTCCACAAAATATGCTGGTTTTTATGTAAGAAGAACTACACATAGAAACATGTTGTTCTTTCTAATTGACCAGTCTCTCCATGAATGGATTGAAACCAGGAAGTGCCAGTTAAGGAAAACTAACAAATAAGGAGTGGCCCACCAAGGGAGACTATGGGGTGATTATAGAATGATTATGACTATAGAAGACCTTGTAGGATGATAATCCCCTAACGTGAGGTAGAGAGGACTGTTCCCAAACATTTCTGAGCCGTGACCCCCTTTTATAGTAGCCAAGTCATCTGTGACCCCCTCTGTCATGTTGACATTTCTTTTGGTTTTTTATTTTTAAAAAATTAGTCCTGGCCGTCTCTTCTCAGAAAGTAGAGGCTGCTTTCTTCTCCAAAGGGCTTGTTTCTCATACATACCCAGACAGGCTAACTTTTAATATCTGGCTCTGAAAGGTCAAAGAAGCGATTATTTAAGGTCTATGAAGCTTATAAGGTTCCCAGGGTGGTGTGTAGCAGATAAAGTAATGGACGGAGACTCTGGAGACTAGGGTTCGAATCCCCACTTCCCCATGGAAACTCACTGAGGTCCAGAACCACTGTTTAAATATCTCAGTCGTCATCAGCAGCATCTTAGAACTACAGAGCTGGAAGGGACCCTACGGATCATCACGTCCTGCTCTTGTCAAGGAGACCCTGTGGGGTAAATCGAACTCCCAACCTCTGGCTCTGCAGCCAAACGCCAAAGCCACTGAGCCATCCATCCTGAAAGCCCTACTAGGGTTGCTGTAAATTGTTTCCGACTTGACAGGAGGAACACACAGACACCTATAAAGCAAACTGCAATCCCCCTAAA